GCAAGAAGAGGGTTAGAGTTTTTTCACCAGTGAAACGGACTCATGAAGGACACGTTAGCATCACTAGTTGCCTGGATTTGAGCTTTGAGCAAAGCAGGGCAATGAATGGGCTGATGGAGGAGAGCATATGCTAGAATCTGGATTAAGTGGGAGATGGGGGTGTGCTATCAGGCATGAAATCGGCCCTCTCCTATTTCACTGTCCTTCACCTCCACTGTCCCCCACTGCACTTTGCTTCTACGTGTTCACAGCGAGCTCCTTGGGCAATCAGTGGAGCCTAAGGACTCCTCAGAATCATGCTTTGGATGCATTTTAAAAAATACAGACAGTTACAAATGCAACTGTGTTAAGATACAATTACTAACTGTATGTTTCTTTACTGGTACTTTAAATAACAATGAACCTGAAGTTCAATAGCAACAAAGTAGTGATGAGTGTGAACAGTAACCGGAACAGCGCCAAGAAGACACAAAAGTTTCTGTGACTTCAACTGGTAAAATCACAGGTACCGCAGTTAGTCCTGCGGCTGGTTGCACAGTGTCAGCTTTGAAGGATTTTGGTTAATGAAAGTAAAGAAGCCATTTTCCTCTCATTCAAGCTCACAGGTCTCCTGAATTCTGTCCATAAGCCCTTTGTGAATGTGGGACTCCAGGAAACAAAGCATTATCCTTATCCTATCCCACTATTTTTTGCCGAGTATTTATTGTTTTCTAATAGTATGTATTATATGTATTATTTACTGATTTTTAAGTTCTTTTTTTTTAAGATTTATTTATGCACACAAGAGTTGGGGTACAGGCCAGAGGTGCGGGGGTTGAGAGGATTCACCAGAGACAGAGTGGGGAATAGAACAGGCAGAATGACTGAAATACACTGCTGAGGGAAGCAGTGGGCAACACAGGAGAGGTCTGCTGCACCATGTGGGTAGCTCCCTGGCCAGGGATCGAACTCGTGCTGCAGAGGCTGCGGACGGAGGCCCTGATTTTTAAGTTTATTTTAATCGTTGGGTTTTCCCTATTAAAATAGAAGTCCCTAAAGTCAGGAGTCTGGATATTTTGTTCACGGATGTGTCCTGAGTGTCTGGAACAGTGGCTGACACTTCCCCGAGGTGCTGTAAGTACAGGAGCCGGGAAAAAGGCCGGAGAACAGCAGTAAAGGGCCTCTGGCCTTCTGTCCTGTTTCCCTTTCTCCTTTCTGCCTTCTCTGCTGTCTAACCACTTTCTCTTAGCTTTACAATCTCTCTCCTTTCCACTATCTTTTATTCTCTTCATTTCTCTCTCATTCAACAAGCATTTACTGAGCAAACAGTCATGACAAGACAGAGCTGGGGCTCCGAAGGCTCATCCTCCCACCCCGGGCAGTGGCTCAGGGCTTGAGCTTTGAAGTTAGGTCAGCCCAAGTTCAATGTCTGCCCTGACATCATACTCGCTGTCTGGCTATGGGCAAAATCTTCACCTCTGTGATTTAGTTTCTTCTGCATAATTTATTCATTTATTAGCCAGTCCTCAGCGGGCCTACTATGTGTCTGGCTTTTCTGTGCTAAGTCCTTGTGATCTTGCGAGGAGAGATTAGAAAACCCGCACTAAAGATGTGAGGTGATAAACGCAATGGGAGGGCAACCCCAAATCCTGGGCCCCTTGAAATTCAGTCTCAGCACACGGCCATGGCCAAGAAGAGTCCATCAGCTCCAAGTAAATTCAAATGCATTCCACTGGCCTTTTGAGTTTCTGGAACAACACGAAGGGGAATTCACGTTCATAGTGCAAGATCAGCGTTATTAAATCTCCTCCTAGCCTACCCCCAGACTTCATTTTCTTCTTCCAGGCATGCTAGGAGTTCATGGCATGGGTGGACTTAAACTCTCACCTTCCTTTAGTGGATGAAGAAGGGAGCAGGGTAGTGTCAGAACCAGAGATTTGGGCCTTTCTCTGGTAGATCGTAGAGGAGAGGGGGTTCTGAATACCCAAGTGCTAGTTTTGCTAATGAAGGAGCACAGGATGGGGAGCAATCTGCTGGTGGTGATGTGCAGGCCAAACCCTGAAGGCTGAGGAGGGAGAGGGAGTGTCTCCCAGCATGGAGGGCTGGGTAAGGGGAGATCCTGGTTCTTACTGTGGGCCAACTCAGTCTGCCTGGAGCGAGAGGGATGAGTAGGATTCTGGCAAGAGAAAGTGTGTTGGGAGATGGGCTGGAGGGAGGTCAGAGGGACAGATGGAGCCAAGTCTTGCAAGGCCTCATCAGCCTCATGAGTCAGGGCCTGTCTAAGATAATGGGAAGTTAGAGAGTGAAGAGATCACGTAGAGTGTTAGAAGTCCCCAAGGGCTGCAGGGTGGGACTAAATGGGGGGGGGGGCGGGTGGAAAGGGGGAGAATAAGATTTGGAAGAGGGAGACATGGGTCAAGGTGAGGGCAAGATTTAGGGGAAATGACTGGTTACAAGAAACCTTCCAGAGCTGCACTCTCTAGGCCTTAATGACTAATCATATGGGGGACAGGGCAGTATTATGGGTTAATTCCCCCCACCAAAAGACAAGGAAAAAAAGACCTCAGAAATTGGGCCATTGCAGAGGCAGTTAGTTAAATTCAGAGGTGGACATACCAGAGTAAGGTGGGCCCTAACCCCATATAGCTGGTGTCCTTGTAGGACAGCTCCGTGAAGGTAGAGACACAGGGAGATGGGTACATGAAGACAGAGCGCTGGAGAGATGCAGCCACAAGCCGAGGAATGCCGGCATTACCAGTGGACACCAGGAGCTAGGACTGCAAACACTTTTATTTTAGGCTTCAAGCCTTCAGAACAGCGAAACAATAAACATCTGGTGTTTAAGACCCCAGAGTGTTCTAGCAGCCCCAGGACATGGCCCTCCAGGGTGCGTAGCCACGCTAGTAGGCTAAACATTAGTCTACTCCAAACTGGCATTATTAGTTATTACAGAACAAGAAATGCTGGAAACTATGAACAAAACATTAAAAAGAAAATCAGAAAATATCTTCAGTTGGTTCAGAGATACCTAAAACCCCACGACTGCTGCCAGAACTCAGCTTCCTCCCAACACAGGTCTGCCGAGGTGATGAACATGATAACTTTGCATACGTGCTCTAGGTGTGCAAGCTCTGTTGTTTTAATTAAGTAAAAACCTAATACATTTCCCACCCACTGGCAACATACGTTGCCCAGCCCAGTGTGACCTGAACACTAGGCCCCTTGTTCAGAAATTATTAAGGCTTTCAAGACAGTGGGGGAGGTTCAAGCCCAGCACACAGTCCCCACACCTGCACCTCTGGGGCTGCCCTGCCCTGGGGAGCCAGGAGGAGGAAGGCCAGCTGACTGGGGAGGAAGAAATGAACTTGGTACGTTGGATGGCGTTGAGGCACTTGCCCTGCCCTCCCCAGGGGCACAGGTTAGGTGATAGAGAAACCAGACTGTTCCTCCTATTAGCTGGGGCAGGCCATCAGTGCTGAGCAGAAGTAGAAGTAGTCCATTCTATTTCTATAGCAGAGGAGAGGTGCTGAGTATTTTTAAACAGGAGTCCAAGGTGGTAGTGAGGGAAAGATGAAGTGGAAGAATTGGGAAGTTTTGAGTCTGGCTGTTTTCCCACCTTTTATTTATTTATTTTAAAGATTCATTTATTTTTATACAAGAACTGGGGTATAGGCCAGATGCACAGGAGGGTGAGAGGATTCACTGGAGACAGAGCAGGGAACAGAACAGGCAGACTGACGAAATGCCCTGCTGAGGGGAGCAGCAGGCAAGACAGGAGAGGTCTGCTTTGCCATGTGGGATTCTCGCCGGCCGGATGGGATTGAACCCGCGCTGCAGAGGCTGCGGACAGCCTCACAGTGCGGTGCTCAACCACCTGTGCCACCAGGGAGGTCCTGTTTTCCCACCTTTTAAATGGTTAACAAAAACAAGACACAGGGCCTCCCTGGTGGCGCAGGTGTTAAGGTCTCAGCACTATCAAGCTATCTCCAGTCACTGCAGCACGAGTTCTATCCCCAGCCAGGGAGTTACCCACACAGCGCAGCAGACCTCTCCTGTCTCCCCATTGCTCCCCTCAGCAGTGTGTTTCAGTAGATTCACCTGTTCTGCTCCCCACTCTGTCTCTGGTGAGTCCTCTCACCGCCTGCACCTCTGGCCTACATCCGTTTTTGCATGCATAAATAAATAAAATAAATCTTGAAAAACAAAACAACAACAACAAACCCCCACAAAATATAACCCCTCTCTCCAGTCCTGTATGTGTGACATCTACCCGTTGGCTAAACAAGGGGCATTGGCAGGGCGGTGTGTCAATCTGACCTGGCTTGGCAGCCTGCCAGACACAAGCATTCATCTTTTTGTCTGTTTTATAATAATGTGACAAATTATAGAAATGCTTATTTTTTTTGTGTGTAATCTGTTCATTAGTGAAAGGTCTGACCCACCAGCTGGGATCGTTGTCTTTTTTACGATGCCCTCAAATCTCTGCATCTTCTAAACATATTTTTTTTCTAGAGCATTTTTAGGGCTGTACATGTAGTTCTAGGTCAGCTCCTCCATCAAGCCACACTGAGTCTGTCTGCCCCTGTATAATCTGAGCTACAGGATTATTTCACCCGAACCATGCTTCGCCCACGAATGAAAACCAAAGTCATCCCATTATTTCCTCCTCACTGCAAAGTGTGCCTGTCTCTCCACAGTAAGTCCCCTCCCTGCATCTACAAATGCCCCATCAAGAGCTTAGGCTTATTAAATGATGTGCCTTAACCATAAAGTCAAAGTAGTTTTAGTTAAAAATGCAAGTAGGGGCCATGAGGACTCACTGGGTTTCATGTTTGAACGAAACATTCAAACTTCTGCAATTATTACTAATATTACTACCACTACTACTGCCATTACTATTACTACCAGCGCTAGTACCACCACCACCACTGCTACTGCTGCTGCTATTACTCAACCACCACCACTACTACAACCACCACCACCACTACAACCACCACCACTACTACCACTATGGTTACTAGCACCATTACTACTATTACTACCACCACTACAACCACCACCACTACTACCACTATGGTTACTACCACCATTACTACTATTACTACCATCACTACAACCACCACCACTACTACCACTATGGTTACTACTACTATTACTACCACCGCTACTACAACCACCACCACTACTACAACTACCATCACTGCTACCACTATGGTTACTACCACCATTACTACTATTACTACCACCACTGCTATTGCTGACACTATTACTACTACTGACACTACTATTACTACCACTATCACTACTACCACTGTTATTATTACTACTATTACTGCTGCTGCTACCACTGTTGTGGCCAGTATTATGATTTTTGAAAACTGAAACAATTTTCTTCATTTCTCCTTTCTTTCAATTCTCCAACTATTTTCTATGCATTCTGTATCCTACACTAAAGCAAGAAACATTGAAATAATTATTCAGAAAGTTTCTATGCTTATCAAGCTAATATCCTATAATGTGAGTGATTAGGTAAGAATAATTGATAAAGAGACTACTCAGAAAGAAAAACAGTTCCTTAAACTCTGGAGAAAAGTAATCAAGCTTGCACAAAAATCAAACTAAATTAGGTTACATGAGAGAAAGTCAAAATTTCAGTATCAAACCATTGTTTTTCTGCTCTTAGATATTCATTCTCATGGACAAGGTAGGTGGTCTCGGACTCCATATTAAATTTGTGTGGATTCATGGATATTAAGAGAATGTGTAACAATGGCTGCACTATAAGTGGGTACAGTTATGGATTTTATATCTGGTTATCTATAAGACACAGAAACACAATTACTGTGGAGTTGCTGCCTGGTCCAGAAGCACAAGCTGCTACCACTGTGGCCTTCCACAGTGGAGGCTGATTTCACTCCTACAGCCCAGGGTGGGCAGTTAGCAGGCGGCAATCCACACAGTGATTCAGGGACCCAGGGACTCCCACTTGCCCTCCATTTTCAGAAGACAGGAGATGAGAATGAAGGGCCCCTTGGGAGGTGTTAACAGGTCAGGAGTGGTGCCCTTGTCTCCCGTCCATATTTCACAGGTTACCGCTTGGTCACAGGGCACATCCAATCTCAGTGCTGGGGGTAGGGGTGCAGAAAAATGGGTCTGGCTGAGTGTCCAGGAGAAGAAAACAAGTTTCAATGAACACAGAGTCCCTGCCGCTGTGGATCAAGACAGCGGTCAAGTGTTTACACTGGCCCACATGTAAAGAAACAGCCTCAAGGAATAAAGAAAATAAGAAATTTAAATGTAAAGCCTAGCTGCAGTCACTCAAGGAGGCCTGAAAGAGGAATTACATTTTTTTAAAAATTGTATTTTTTCAATTGAGGTAACGGTTTACAATTCTGAATATGATTCAGCGTCACCCCCTCAGATGGATGTTACCATACCACACCCACCACCAAAACACCTACAGTCCCCCACTAGAGTCCCTTGGCCCCCTCCTGCCCACCCCACCCAGAATGATATTCTCAGTGCACAAAGCTGGTAAATTCACCTCTCAAGTCTACCTGTTTCTGTATATGTACCCTGATAGACGCGGCCCCTCCTCCCAAAGTCCTCCCTCCCTACTTCCAGGCTCCTGAGTCTCTCACAACTGAGATCACTTAGACTTTCCCTCCCTTTCACCCTAATTGTGCTTCATTTAGCCCTCTGGGCTTCAATTTCCCCATCTGTGAAATGAAAAACTTGAACTGGATGACCTACATGTATTGAACACTCAACGAATATTTATTAGGAGCCCACTGGGCTAGGCCAGCTCAAACATTCTCAAATGCTATGAAAAGGGCAAAACTCTAAAATCACAGACTTTCTCCCACTGTGGATATGGTTTTATAAGAATCCACACCCACCTCATGGCTTGCTTTAGCGGCACCTTCATGTGGTGAAGAGAGTATTTTTCTGATGAAAATCAGGTCTTTATCTTTGTGTTATTAAGAAATGGTCATTGAAGTTCAATAAAATTCATGAAAAATGGCTTGTAGAACTAGAATGACTGGTTTTTTTTTTTTTTTTTTTTTTTTTGAGGGAGGCAAGACATTACCCACTTGGGGGAATCTAATTTATAGAAATGAAAGCATCAGAATCTAATGGTATAGGCACAAGTGTGTTTGCTGCTTTATTATATATTTAAGCCAAAGACTCAAATTGACCGGAAGTAGGGTGTAGGGTACATCCATTCTTACCCTGGAATATGATACAGTTATTAAAAATAATGAATTTGAGTTATAGCCATTGACCAAGGAGAGAGAGTGTTCATGATTTATCAAGTGAGAAGAATAAGATTAGAGTAGGGTTTGTTGTATGATTCCATATTCATGAGAGAAATGAGAACACCCCTAACTTAGTCACCACATAACTTAGTATAATCCCAGTGAAAGCCACAGAAGACTGGACTACTCCCCAGGCTTCCCCAAATCTATTACTGCAAAGGCTGGGATTGGAGACTCTGGCAGACATATGAGATTGGTAACTTTTTCTTTACACATCATTAGAGTGCTTTTTTCCCATTTCTTACAATGATCACATTCTTTGGAATTAAAAGAATTTTAAGTATGGTTTTAAAATATCAAAACAAAGAAGCATTTTATAAAGACACATGCAAATGAATAGTAGTGCTCATGAAGTTTAGAAAAAAGAAGCAAGGAGGAAGAATGTGTCTGTGTCTCCACCATATCTCTCATAATATTCTTTTCTCTGGGAAGATATTTTTCAAAGCTGAGTAGGGCTTGTGTATGTACTGAACCCTGCTACTCCCCATCTAAAGTGCAATCAAGACTCTCATTCCATGTTTAGCGAGCTGTCTCCTTAGAAATGTAGTTGATCCGACTCATGTATATCAGAAGGCAAGTGCCCTGGACCCTAAGTATTTGGATTCTAGCAGGATTTTTTTCTCTCACCCTAAATTAATACATTAATTTTCTGAGTTGGGGGAAATGCAAAGCTAGACTGTGGTTTGGTTAGAATGGATCAACTCATCAGATCCTAATAACTCTTGGGTAAACTGATAAAGTAGAATTACCAAAAGCACAAGACTGAGAGCTGGACCCCTGGCTTCATACACCCTACAGAAATATAGGCCCCCTCAGGCTGCAGAAGTCAACCAGCCATGCCCACAATCTGCGTGGTTAGTTTCTGGTCTGTGGGATCACTGGCTCTCTTATCTAGATGCCCTCTGCAGTCTGTTAAGTCAAATTTACCATAGAACTTGGCCCAGCATCTGCATATAGTTTATTGATAATGAAAGCAAATCAATCAACAAAACAATGATTGAGATGCGGGTGGTTATCTTCAGGAATTCCATAACACAAAGTTGGGTGAATGGTTAGCTAGCCCCTTTCAGCGACCAGGGATGTGGGCAGTGAGAGGAGTCAGATGCCTTGTCCATTTTGACAGTCAGAGGAGCCAGAGGGTGTTGTCAGCTGGGACTTTGGTTGCTAAGTCAGTTCTGCTGCAAAGGATGAAGGAGGGAGCAGAGAAGGGATGACTTATATCCCTCTCCTCTAAAAGAGATGTCTTAGAAAATGCACTTTTTAAATTCTAAGCATCACGTAGTATCATTTGAGGCCCAGAGAAGAGAACATCAGGAGGAAACAAGGCAAAATGACAAAGGAAAGGAAAGCAACACAAAAGCTCATTGGGACACTGTCTCACTTACATGAAGAGGGGTCAGGTGGGTTATGTAGCTGCTACCTGCCTCATTCATGTGAAATAGGCAAGCTGTTTAGACGGACCATTCATTTCTAGACATGTAATTGAATGGTGGGTCTACTTGCGAATGGCATAAACGCAAACTTTGTTTGCGTGAATCTCAACAGTCACTAGTACATCTTTTTAGTAAGTTTTGAACACCTAATATGTGCCAGATACCATTTTAGTGCACGCTATCCATCAGTCGATACCTTGGTCTCACAGTCTAATAAGAAAAGCCAAGACAGAGACCCAGAAGAAATGAACAGACAAATAAGAAGGTGGTATGTGATACGAGCCAAAGGAAAGATTCTTATTTTGAATTCTATTGACTTGTAAAGGATAGAAAGATGACAGTCTGCTGAAATCGTCAAGGAAGGCTTAGATTTTGCACCAGATATTGAGGGACAGATTTGATTTGGAAAGGCAGAGAGAAAAAGGAAACATATTTCACAGGAGATGGGACAGTACCATAATGGGAACATTTACAAAGTACTTCACAGTTTGCAGGGCATTTTCTCATCCGTGGTACAGAGGTGGAAATGAGCAAAGCTTTTGAGAGTCAAGTGCAGAGATCAATCTGACTTAGCAGAAGATAATCATCCCTCGTTCATTCCCCTGTGTCCTTTCTTTTCTTTCCTGATCAGGGGTCATGCTTTCATATTGACATGCTCATGTAAAGTCCCTTTATAGGGGGGAATTTCTCTGCAAAGAAGTGGTAAAAAGAACCAGGAGGCTGAATTTCTTAAACCAACAGGCAGTATTTCTTCTGTATAGTGTGTGTGTGCACACACGTGTGTGTGCAGGTGTGTGTGTGCATGTGCGTGTGTGAACTAATAGCTGGAACAGGAGACTTTCTATGTGGATGAGTAAGACATGTTGTACTTCATCCTCCCAAATTAAATGTGCTCTGGACTTGAAGGACTTCCTCTGTTTCGGCCAAGCTTACATTTCATTCCTTTCTAATTCAAAGGAAATCTGTTCTTCCTCTCTATTTCACAGCCCCCTCTACTTTCAAACCTCTGCTCTTGCTGTAGACAATTCCATTCATCTAACCAAGTCTGGCCACCCCGTTCAGTTTCCAGAGCTGCTCCTGTTAGTCACGAACTCTCTTCCAGCTATAAATACAATTATGATTATTGCCCCTTCTCCATCTCTGCAGTGGTATTTAATATTGAGAGAAGGTGCAATACATTCCTTTGAGATTTTTTTTTTAAAGATTTATTTATTTATACAAGAACTGGGATACAGGCCAGATGCACGGGAGGGTGAGAGGATTCACCAGAGACAGAGTGGGGAGCAGAACAGGCAGACTCATGAAATATACTGCTGAGGGGAGCAGCGGGCGTGACAGGAGAGGTCTGCTGCACCATGTGGGACACTTGCTGGCTGGCTGGGATCGAACCGGCACTGCAGAGGCTGTGGACAGCTTCACAGTGCAGCGCTCAACCGCCTGCACCACCAGGGGAGGCCCTCCTTCGAGATTTTGACAAATGGCTTGGAGCCTTTGTGTCACACACATACA